TAACGTACGTTTACTAAAGTAAGTTTAAGAACGCTCGACACGAGGTAGGTCGCGTCGACTAGGTAAGGAAACGTCCTTCACCCGACCCCCCCCCCCCCCCACTCAATACCTTGCTCAACTCAGGGTATTTTTCATTTCCCCTCCCAGTTGGGCCCAACCTTCTCCTCTTCACCTGCAATCTATGGAGCATCTGGTTTTGACCATTTCCTTCTCTACTTCTCTGACTGCACAAGAAGTTCTATCTCTTTTGAGGATTGGGCTTCTTTGGAGGCCCTCATTCCCCTCAGTCAAGACCAAAAGTGACCTCTTCAATGGGCTTTACAAGCTCAATTGAACCTTCGATCCCTTAAACACTCCTATCCATCTCCCTCCTTACATCCATGTGGACTTTGCATGGTGGTTGAACAGAGACAACACCACAATAGGTGTTCCTCTTCTTCCTCCTCATCCAGAGGTTCACCTCTTCATGGTTGCTTCTATTTCGGTTTGGGATGTGTGTCTGGAGATGCAGGAGATTTGGTGACATTGGTCTGTAACAGAGTCATCTCTGCATATCAATCTCATAAAACTGTTCGCTGTTTTGGGGGTTTTGGTTCTTTCCTTCTGTCTCGCCAAAACTGGTCAGTTATGATCCATTCAGACAACTCAACAGTTGTCTTGTACATCACTTGACACAAGTTTTTTTTTTGTTTCCACACATTGTAACTCCTGTTTTGGGCCCACAGCTATCACATTTGATTGATGGCATGTCATGTACCAGGTGCCCTGAATCTGGTCATGGATCATCTATTGCTCCCCAACAGGATTCTTCCCACATGTTGGTCTCTTGACCCATAGGGGTTCAGTTGGCTGTGTTCCCAGTTAGGACTCCTGATGCATTTGCCAACCAGGTTTTGGTCTCCTTTTCCTCATCCTTCAGCTGTAGCTGTCAATACCCTCAGTCAGAATTGGGTCTATTACCTTTATGCGTATCATCCCATCTGACTTCTTTCTCCATTTCAAGTCCTCTTGGTGTCATCAATTTGGCCGGCACAACTGTAGTTTTTACTTCTGCTTTTGCTCCTACTGATACTTCCTGCTCCTCTGTCCATATCACCCACCCTTCTCACACAACCTTAGTCAAGAGTGCTACATCCTTCCCTTCCACTGTTCCGTCTTCATGCTTGGCTTTTGTCTGGTCTTTTGCCAGAGGGGCCAGTTGCTCTCTGCGGGTTGCTTTCCTGATATCCTATTTCACTTGCCCTTCCTCCTCGTCAGTTTACTAACATAAGTGGTATGTCTACCACCATTGGTTGTGTTGTCATGATTTTCCTCACTTACACCCGACTTCCTTCCTTACCTGGCTTTATAACAAGGGGCTGTCACTCTCCACTATTGCTGGGTATCATACATCATTGTCAGCCACTTTCTGTTTGATTTCTTCTATTCTCTGGTCCTCACCCTTTTGTTTCATTTCTACTGCCTTCAGCGTCCTCTGAATCCTACCACCCTCCCTAATTGGAACCCCAATGTCATCCTCCATGCCCTCATACTTCCTCCCTTCAAGCCTGTGTCATCCTGTTCTTTATATCGTCTCTCCTTAACCCTTTCACGACAAGCTTGGTATAATATTCACAAGTTAAGTATTTATACTATAACTTTTAATGCAGTAAGTATATCTTCACAAAATTTAGTAGATGTTTAGTAAAGTTTACAAGTCTTTCGTACACAAAAAATCTGATTTTTTAATTAAATATTTTTATTATAGATTTGTTTGTGAAAATATCGAGTCTGTTTCATTACCAGTCCAAGTGGGAAGTGATTCTCATGTTATAACTAAAAACTATTGTTCGTCCCAAAAATCTTAAATATTATTTGTGTAATCTCTAAAACCTCCTAAATACATTTCAATTTTTTCTTTCAGTAAAACTATATTTTTTCTGTTATTTTCTTAACCCTAACTCTATGGGGTCTGTCAATTTGACTGGCCTCATAACCACCATAAAAAATTAGGAAATAAATGTAAATTATGCTTTTTTCGTTCTAGAATGACTACATATTGTAACATGAAAACACAAATGTTTAGTCTAAATAGATTAAATCTCATAACATAATACCTTTATATATATTTATTATTTTTATTATATTGACCTTTTAACCATGCCTGGCTAACAATACACAACTTACAATGATGTGGTGCATGTGCACTCATGATATTGTATCCAATAATATAAAACTGACCGTTAGTCTTTACAAAATGACCTGTCTTGGCTGTGTTTTAGTGAACTAGTATTTTGTAAAATACAGTCACATTTCAAGTATTATACATTATATATCTATATTTATTAATACTATTTACAAATAAGTTCTTAAAACTTATTTTCCTTAAAACATAGAACAGTAAATAAAGAAGTAAAGCAAATAATTATATCTTCTAGTTACAACCTTTGTACTTATTTGTTGCTTGTCGTAGGTTGCTAAGGATGTGAAAAGAAATTTTTTTTAGGTTTTATATATATACATTTTAAATAACCAAAAAATCATAAATTACTATATCGATACCATAGAATTCCACTATAATTTATCAAGAGTAGTAACTAAGCTGTAGTTGGGCCTAAAAAATATAAATTTCAAGCTCACTAAAGACTTACCTTATTGTGTGAAAAGAACGAGATTGACACAACAACACATCAAAATGACTGAGATAACCACTAGGGGGACATTCTGAGCTTTCGATTGGTTATTCATGTTATATATAGAAGTAAGTGTATATAAGGGAGCATTTCCAAAAATGGAAAGCGGTGGGGGGCAACTTTGTTTGATTCAGTACATGAGCAATATCTTAGCAAATTGATGTTTAGCTGTGTTTTTTAATACTTACTTTTAAATTAAGAAATTAACTAACATGTAATACTAAAATTTGAATTATAATTTACAATTTGATACCAAATTTATTGACATAAATTCATAAAATAGTAGTTCAATAAAATTTTGAATGCAAGTCAACAAAGGCGATTTCATGGCCTTTGACACATGAACCGTCCTCCTCCTCTTGGTGTGTGGACATCAATGTTCTGGTATGTTAGCTCTCAGTGTCCCTCACACATTATATCCCCAGTTCTATGTCATCCTCTACCCAGATTAGTCTTTCCTGCCCAAAACTTTGGCTGCACATGAGGGTGAATTTGCTTCACTCTCATTTCCCTCCCTTCTATTTCTCACCTCATTACAGTCCAGATTGCCTCTTATGTCCTGTCTGTGCTCTCTGTTGTTACGTGGCTCACACTGCTCCCTTCCATGTTTCCCGTTCACATTAGTTTATTCATTGGAACCCTTTCCTTTCCTGTGATATTTCTCCTATTATCCTTATGGGTTGGATTCACCAGCTGATTTGTTTGGGTTATTCTTCCCTTTCTCTCGATGATCGTTGTATCTTCCAAGTCACCTCCCATCAAATCCGTCTCCTTACCATGTTTCTGGTTGCCTGATTCCATCATCATTTAGAAGATATAGTTTGTGCCAGCACGTGAACCACTCCCCATACACTTATCTCATACTATCTTCATCATCTGGCCATTTCCTACTTCTCAGGTTACCTTCTACCTCTCATCGCCATCTTGAGCTCCATGGTTTATGACTGGGTAGGTGATCTTTTTATGGTATTCTTTTTTACAGGGCTTTTCTATCATATACAGATCCTGCTCAGTGGTGAGTGTTGCCTGACCAGGTATACATATTTTTAAACCCACACTTATCGACCACTCCAGTCAGTAACACCCACTGTTGAGATGGAGTGTTCCCCAAGACTGCTTGTAGGTTTTTCCATCATAAATATGTTCACCCCAGATCATACACTCATGGACTAACATGAGTAAAGCAGAAGGTCATTGCTACTCATCCCTGCCACTCCTTGGTTTGGCTGTATCAGGAACAGTTTGCTTTTAAAAATAAGGTTTTTCAGTCACCCATTGTACTATCTCTGGTGTTGCCTTTCCTCCGAACTATCCAACGTATTTCCCATACACGCACATTCTTCCAGTGGAGTAAGGCTGTCCTTAACACTTAGCTGCTAGGGTGGTGGATCATGGAGGCTTCCTCCTAGGTGTTCACAATTTCACTCAGGTGAGAGTAAAGTGGTGGTGTTCTGCAGGTGTAGATGGTGTATAGTCACTCCTCCTACTCTGTACCTGATGTTCTATTCCAGATACCACCTGGTTATGGACTAGATGATTTCTGCCACAATGTAGTTCATACCGTCTTCCAGATGTCAGTTTCCAGTGGATACTAGTGTTGGTTATGGTAGACATGCACACGTAATGATGCAGGTCCTTGGAACAGAAGATTTTCTTCCCATCCAGTTCCCGTGTCTGAGGTGAATGGTAGAGAAACCTCTTCCTACCATGGACCAGGTATTCCTATCTTGGTTGTTACGTATTGAGAATTTGAAATAATCCAAGGCCGCGTTAAATAATTTAACTTTTAATAGTTGAGACGTACCTAGGATTTAGGTTTAGAAATATGCTGATATTTTATTTAATTTACGCTATTCGCCAACAAGATTGATTCACACCGTTTTTGGTTTTGACACAAATACGTTTTAATATACAACACTATAATTTACAGTAGCAACTCTTATGATTAATTATTACAAAGTTTCTAAACAGAAATTTCATTAACTTACAAATAGCCTAAAACCATCTTCCTAGTTCAGAGTCTTCTTGATACCAGCTAGTTGTACGTACATATGAAATTTGGCGGGAAGCTAGCTTGCTTTGTCATGCACTGAATTACTGAGCCGTTGAAGTAAGATAATATTTTCACCAAATCACTGGTGTCCGATGAGAAATTAGTAATATTCTTGGTCAAATGTCGTATAGTTTCCGGTTGATAGGGGTTAGCAAAATCACAGTTTATAGCTCACACGGTTATAACAATTTCATAGTAGACCTGTCTTTTCTCTATTCTTTGTTGTTCGCTGCTTTTATAGGCCAATCACATTTTCTAGAAACTTCTGATATACCAGTTATGGAAGTTGATTCTTTGTTCACGAACGTTCTGTAATCTTGGAGAATTGGCGGGAGTTTTGCCATACGTAACAAACATGGTAAGCTAAACACGCCCTCAAATATAAACTTATTCGAAACAAATGTTGACATTAAAATAAATATATAACAAATTCGTTATACGCAACACATATCTGTTAATACAAGTCACGCCTATTTCTAAATACAAATTCAATCCAAACAACATTCATATTAAAAATAAATACATAATAATAAATTTGTTACATGGTACTGTTAGTGTTAGTTGAAATTGAACTCCCCTTTACGGTTTTCTGCGCCCCAGCCACTTTACACCAGGGGTCCCTTCATTTAATTTTCCACCCTTATTGCAACACATCATTTTCATGGGCAAAGAGTATATCTGGCTCAAAAGTCTTACATACTCTTTATTCACACACCTGATGGGTTTCTTTTAGGTGCTTTCCAAGGGGTGCTCATCTAGGTAATGTTACACTGGTCTCTCCGCCAAGTCAGTGTGGGATTCTAGCTATGATATGAGAAGAGGTAAGATATTGTATTGGAAATTTACATTTTCCTATACTGAAAATGTATTTCTGATGGATTCTTACTTCTGCTCACACTTCCCTCCCTTCCTCCCCACTCCTGATGTCTTTACTTTTTATGTTGCTCAGTCTCAAAGTGAAGTTGAGCTAAGATGCATAGAGGGCGTCAGCTGTGCTAGGAGTTGTGTCGTGCTTATGTTAGTGGAGGGTTGTTGCATGCTATCTTGCAGCTGCCTCACATGATAATGTGTGAAGGTGGGTGGGAGTATCAAGATTAGTGGCAAGCAAAAACTTGCACATACATACAGTACAAGTTGAGAAAAGGTATTATGTGAGAAGAGGTAAGAATCTATCGGAAATACATTTTCAGTGTAGGAAAATCTTAACTTTGAAGTAGAGAGGAAAGATTCCTCACATTTTTGTAATATTAGCTTGCATTTTTGAAATAGCCAGTCTGAGGAGCTGATTTTAATGTCTTTGGTAACTCATGTCCAATATTGGTTTTTGATAAACTTCATTTCACTAAAAATTGCTTCACAAAGATATGTAGATCTTAAAAGGGATAATAGTTTCCAGGCACATGGCAACAAAGGTGGAAACTGTTCTTTTTGGGAGGACGTTCCAAAACTGAAGTATCTCTTCATTTTTAAATTACTCTTTGGACATTTCTTATGGATTTGAATGTTGCTGCAAATTAATAAATTCTTTTTTTTTAAATCTGTTGCTTCGTGTCCTAGAACACAAAGCTCTGCAACATCTGTAATTGTGATGTTCCATGGATTTTTAACATGTCAAAATGAATGATTAAATTTCCAGAAATTTGATTTCTTCCTGCAAGTAAATCAAAAATAGTGTGAAAACTTCTTCATCAACATTTCCTTCTGGGTTTTTTCAATGAAGAGCTAAAGGTTTAGAAAACTGGTGAAATCCTTGGTTGAAACTTCTTTGAATCATTCAAACTGATCTTTAAGGTGTAAACAAATTAATCATCTGGTTGACTAGTAAGTTTTTTGCATTTGAAGAAAATCTTAAGATGTATGTCCATCATCTCAGTCGCATCTGTTAGAAAACTTTAATGTCTAATTCAGGATAATTTGTACCACATTTTTTCCAGAAAAAGCTTTATTTCATGATGAAGACTGAAAAGTCTATTCAGCACTTTTCCCAGCTGAGCAAGCAAACTTCAGAATGGTAAAGAGCATCTCCATAATATGAATTGAGCTTTTTTCAAAAACTCCTGGAAAATGTAATGACTGAGCTGTGATGCATGACTTTTTTCATCAAATTGCTGAAATCTTGATCAAAAATCTTTGATGCCAAATTTTCTTGATGTAGTATACAAATCAGATTTATTGAAATCTTTCATCAGAAGAGAAACAAAACCAGAGTTCATTCCTGCCATAGAGGGACATCCATCAGTGCATATACCTGTCAATTTGTCTATTTTATAGTTTCCATGTAGTCAACCCTTCATGTCTGGCCAATCATTGTAATCATAACTAAAATTACCTCATTTATGACTCCCTCTTTTGAGCAATACTGCACAAATGAAATTAACTGTGAAACTGACATTAGATCTGTTGAGAATTCCATAGTCATGCTAAAATAGATGCATTCTCTCAGTTTCTCAGTCAATGTGTAAAATAAATAATTTGAAAGATCTTCTGCTCTCCTGGCACAGGTAGTATCAGACAACTGCAGTTTTTCTATTTTATCATTAATTCTTTTAATATTTGAAAAATTTTAAAACTGTGTGTTACAGATGACCACTATGCACTTTTTAGCAATCTCTACATCACTAAATGACGTCATTTTGTGGGCCAGAATCTCAGCAACGTAATATGATGCCTTTGTAGTAAATTCATTTTTGTTTGTTCTCTGTTATTTGTTTTTAATGCTGTGATGTCCATTCAGTTTGTACCATTTTGGAATACTCATTATTTCAAAGTACAACAGACATATGACTGATCTTTCTTTCTTTTCACATGCAAACAAAAACTCGTGTTCCCATTTGTCTTGAAATGTCCAATGCCTTTCCTTAATTTTTCTTTTCACACATTTCAAAATTACACCTGACATTATTTATTCCTTAACACAGTCATGCAGAGGCTTAGCATGACTAACCACACTACATTGGCCTGACTAAACTGAGGCAAGAAATGGAGATATATTCAGAAACATGCAGTATCTGCATTTCAGTAATGGCCAGAAATGTCTGATACAAGTATAAAAATGTATGCACGACTAATGCTAATTACCCAACTAAAATCTTGTGATGGAGCACACTTCCACTTGTTTCAAAAATATTTTCTTATATTAACAACTGTCTCATTGAAGACCACAAGTAACCCACAGTCTGTGTAGTGAATACTGCAGCACTAATGTATCACTTCTATATTAGGGATAGTTAGTGCAGAAAGCTCTCATGTAGCTTTGCCCAAAATTCAACAAACAAACAAAACTGAATGATTTTGTAAAGCTTCTTTTTATCAGACTCTCTAGAACTGTTCCCACTGTCTCTTGACCTACCAAAATGTGAGAGAGGCTCACATATCTGATATGTGACATCCTTTAAAACTCTGGGTTAAAACTTTGTCTGCTCCTGGTGCTTTATCCATTTTTAATCTCTAAATCTTTCTGCTTACCACCAGTGGAATAATATCTGCATGATTCAAGTCAATTTCTTTATTTTCTATAGAATACTAATGGTCAAGAATATTATTAATGTCTTATTTTGTAAAAAACAGAACATGAAGAGAAGAAAACCTTTAAAAGCTTAGCCATCTCATTCTTTAACATCCTTTAAGGGTTCAATACCAATTTTAATATTTAACTTATCTTTAACAGACTTAGAAAAATCCATGCTGCTTTAACATTATCAACCAGCTGTTTGTAATAAACTTTTTTTATTTCCTTTTTTTCTTTTTAAACCAGATCACTAGCTTTTTTCTAGTTACGTGGAACTTCCATCCTATTTGGCTATTTAAACTTCTTAAACTTACAGAGATTATCCCTGATATTATTGTTTATATCTTCATTAAGCCAGTTAGGTTTGATCTTCCCTTTTATCTTTTTCCCATTTTGAGTAAAATGCCTAGCTTAAGTTAAAAGCAGTTTAGTTTTGAAAATGTCCCACATTTGTCCTACATCATCTTTTAGCTCATGAATTAATGTTAATCTTGTCTCATGATCTCAACATTGGCTTTCCGCGAGTTAGGAATTAACATTCATTTTCGTTTTAACTTGAAATTACAGCAGAAATTACATAAACTGGTTTTCTAATCATGTAATCCACCAGGAGCTAGGCACTTTAAAAAGACTACTAAATTTAGAATATGCTATATACACCACAGAAAACACTTACATCTCTGCTTTACCAACATAATCCAGTTCCCTACTATAGTAGTTACACAAACTATCAATGAACTTAAAAAACACAGACAAGACACATTTAATAAACAAACTCATAAAAACATCCACAAAATAAAAAAACCTAATCACTTGCACTGTCACATACATAGAAAATATTAACACACTTGTATCAGAAATTTGGAAAAGACTAGCACCTAAATATAACCTTAACATAATGACTAGATTAATTTTCACTCCTGGAATGAAAATTAAACACGTGTTAAGAAAATTATATCGGGAAACATTCACAAAAGACAGTGTAACAATTGCCCAGTTTTTACTTCGGTTTTTTAGGTGAAACAGGATGTAACTTGAACATCAGGTTAAAAGAACACCAAAAACCCCCTTCCCAAGTCCATGAACAAAACAAATCACAGTTTTTCTGAACAGAATGTCACCATACTAAAACATGAGCCTGACATTAACAGAAGAAAAATGAAAGAAGCCTTATTAACGTAATCAAACAATCCCACAATTATGCTATAAATCTTTTTTCAGTCTTTGTCATTGTTGTCATATCAGTTTGTTATTTTATCAGTAATACACCAATATACATTTGTAAAGAAACGGGTTTTATCATGATGTGGTTTTTCTTAATCAGTGTTAGTCTGGCAGGGTAATCCCATTGTCGTAAAAGGTCAGAATAACCTGACCCTTATACTGGAGTAGGGTTAATACTGATTGAGCATCATATACATAATGCCTTTTGACTGGCTTGACTACAAGTTATTCCTGCTTTAAAATTTCTGTAAAGAAATTGAGCTTTTCATATTTAAATAGGCAGTCAAATAAATTTGTTTAATGGATCAGTTTAATATTGTTTTTCTGTGTGATATAATTCCATGGAAGTTTTTTTTTAATTTCAAATAGTTAGTAGTTTAGTTTGTATCAAGCTTTAGTAACATAACCATGACATATCTCAATAATCTTTGTAGCTTTGTCATAAGCTTTATTTACTGAATCAATAAAGTGTTAATTCTCTTCTCATTATTTATTTTCATGTTCAGTTTATTTTTTAGAAACATTGAAATACTTGTATGTGTGAATATATAAATCAATATAATCTTTTCAAAGAAACAACAAAATAGTAACCCAATCAAATGATAAAAAAATCGTATACACAGTGACTTTTCCAAGTTTCAGAATTATGAAAATTTTGTGTTAAATGCAAAAACACAAGTCTGGTATATTCACAGAATAAGATTTTTTGTACTGTTTTTTTTTTCATGTGTAGCACTACAGGATGCACAAGCTGTGATACTTGCTCTTCAGGATCATATAGTTCTGTTCCTGGATCATCAGTTTGTGTTCCCTGTTCTCTTGGTAAGCTTCTTCTGTTACCTGAGTAGAACACACATTGTTAGAATTGTTTGTCAGTCAAAAGGCTCTGTTTCAGAGTAACCAGTGCTAAAAACCTGTAATGGAACATAAATTCCGTGATATACTTTCAGGAAACTGGGAGAAGTCTTAAAATTAGTTATCTAGAAGTTACCCAATGCTGTATTTCACAATATCTGTTGCTATTTTCTTATTATTGCCTGAAGAAATGCAGTATTTGTGTAAAAAAAATATATGTATTAAACTCTTCCCATTACTAAAAACAACATACTGTATGTTATGGGCCAGTAAAAGACTTATTTCAGTTAAAGATGGTTACTAGATCTTTAGCTTTGGAAATGGCTTACATTTACCTGATAGTAAATCAGTTTGCACAAAAGCTTGTACACAGTTTCTTCCAGGTTTACTGAACATTATCCAATAATCAACTTAATTCATACGTTATGTGTTGTTATAACATCACAGCTCTGTCTACCCACTTAGAGTACACATATAACTTCAGTGGGATTGTTTTAACCTTAAAATCATGTGCTTATGTTATTAGATGAACTGCTGTATGTATATTACTATATTATTACCTACAACACTGACTTTTTAATCTATCAAGCAGCAATAAACTTGTTGTAATCATTTGAGCGGAATTTTTTTCTTCTTGAAGTCCAAATAGGTTAGTTAGGTAGAAAATCAGTTTTTATTGATGTTTTCTTAATACTTTATCTTAGATTAACAGTAATTTGAAATAGCAGCAACACACACATGAAATCCTTTGGCATTCTTGATACAAACTCATTAATATACTGCGTATTTACAGATGACTTGTTTAAAATATTTCTGAAAACTTTATCTTGAGTTGCTTTAAAAGCTAGAAAATGATTTGGAGGAAAAAAGTTGAGGGTTGAGTTAATCAGAACTACAAATTTCTTCCTTTTTTTAGGTCTAATTTGAAATTGAGAATACATGTAGATTTGAAACACTTTTGATAGACAGAGAAATTGGATTTTCACTACAAAATTACAAAAAAGAATTGGTTAAAAGTATATATTTTTTCATTTATGCCTGTAGAATGACTAAAGAAATACTTCAATTTAATGTCATATGAGGCTATAGCAACAACTATAAAATTAAGAAATCTTTAATCCATTAGAATTAATAAGCTTAGAATATTTTGGATTCTTAAAATGAGATAGAGCTAAGTTACTGTAAATAAAATTCCAAAACATACTTACCTCTGCTGACACTAGCTATTTCTCGATCTCCATGGTTTCCACTCTTTTTCCATCTAAGCATTGAAAAGATTTGCTCCAGTCTTTTATACCCCTCTCAAATGTCCTTGGTAAATTCTAATTAGCAAAATTCTCCACCAAATTCAATGTGCTCACTATCTAGATACTGTATATAAGCACCTCATTCAGATAATGTAATCACTTTTTTGAGACATAAACCAGCTTTTAGTGGAGAGGTAGGGTGGGAGAGTGTTAAGGTAAGTATTATTGGAAATACATTTTCAGTTTAAGAAAATGTTAACTTCCAAAACATACTTATCTCCAGTGATACTATAGCAAGAATCGCACATTGAGATGGTAGAGGAGCCGGTGCAGGCATGAACCATACAGAAAGCATCTGCATAGAACAGGTGTGTACCAAGATAAAGATGGTACAAGAGTGGGGGAACCGCACTACATTCAGAACAGGTATGTTCTTCACCTGGAACTCAGTTCCTTTATCAAAGGTGAAATAGAATATGAGTAATCATCATTATAGGCCAGCTCCAACCAGATAGCCAAGGCTCCACAACTCGGGGTTGGAATTAAAGGGTCGTGGTACCTATATCCTATGTTGATGGCTAGGGCTATTGGACCGCAATGTTATAAATATATACTTTTGTTTGGATCCCAACCTGTAGCCATAGAGTAATGCGTTTTGCACCACCAGAATTAGTAAAAGTTATGAACAACTAAACTCAACTTCATGTTTCTTGATCCAAAATGCAAAAATGTTTTTAGTAATATGTGCATAAGCAAGAAAACCTAAAAAGAGTAAAATATATTTTGACAACAAGAAGCAACAATAAATTGAAAACAAGCCAAAAATATTTACTTTTTTATAATCAGGAATTGATTTGGCTCACAATAAGTTATTCCTCTGCTGAAATTTTTTTGTGTGAAAAAAAAATAGCTAAATTATGGAAAATCAATTATATCTAATACTTTTTCTTGCCGTTAGGCTTTTACCAACCAGATGAAGGTTCTTCAGAGTGTCTGAAATGTTCTCTAGGAAAAGAGACATCGTGAGTTTTATTAATCTATAATTTTTTCTAATGCTTTGGAGGAAAAGTTAAATGTTTTAATTCCTTCACTGTTGTTATAGCTTATAAAAGATTAATCTTTTTTTTTTGGCTGTTCATGCAATTTTCATGACTTGGTTTTTCATACATTTTCCCATGTCTGCAACATGCTAAACCTCTTTCTAGGCTTATTAATCACTATTTGTTTAATAACTCATATTTCATAGTTTGATAATTTAATAAACTCAAATAGTTAATTTATAATAAAGTGTTAACCATTCTTAACTTTACATAAGATAGTATCATTAGTATGATATTAAAAATTCATATTCATTGCACCATTAAAACATGGTGTTTAATGATCACATAAAAGTCATAAAACTTGGCTTAAAATTTTATTCATTAATGAAATTGTATCTCACCATTTTGTTAGTCAATCAAGCCTTATTCAATAAATTAAAAAATTTTTTGGGTGATAGTATTCAAGGAAACAGAGAAATGGAGGATCATGGACAATATAAACAAGACGAAATTCTCAATAGCTGTGACACTTGAAATTCTTTTAGGCAGAATTAGAGTAAATTAATCTGTGAGACCTTTTTTTTTTACATTTTTTATTAGCTATACTTTTGTGCATCAGCAATACCAAGCATGGGGCATGCATATATCCAATTGGATTTCATATCTCATCTGTATCTTTACCAGCCTTTTAGGAAGGGTTAGAGTAAATTAATCTGAGACCTTTTTTTTACATTTTGTATTAGCTATATTTTTGTGCGTCCGCAATACCAAGCATGGTGCATGCATATACCCAATTGGATTTTATTACTCATCAGTATCTTTACCAGCCTACCCTCAAATTTTAGGCAGGATTAAAGGAATTAATCTGTGAGACCTTGGGGCCGGTCAAATACATCAATCAAAAGGGTTTGACCTCCTGAGTCCAAAACTGTAATTAGATCTCAAATTGGTCAAGAGATGACAGAGTTATGAGCTAAAAGTTTCTACTTGAAAAACTCGGAGCCATTCTATGGCTTTGTTATTAAGATAATTAATACCATAAGGAAAAGATGGGCAAAAAAAATAATCAAAAATCTGCCTTGAGGTTTTCCCATCTTTTGATGAATTTTTCTTTACTTCCATTTTTTAACATATTTGATATACCCAATTGGATTTTATTACTCATCTATTGCTTTTGGCATCAAAAGATAATCTGATTTAAGTATTTTGTTTTACGTATCATAATTATCATTATTAATGTATTTCATAATTACATTTATAATTCCACAATATTTGGTTATATAAGCATCAAATTTATTGATATCTGTAAACTCAAAACATTTATAAAAAGATCCTTTATCTCAATTATGATCATTTATAAAATTATTTCATTTTTGATCCAATAATGGAGAGCTGAAGTTTACTTATTAATTTTTATTTTTTGGTGATACCATAATGACTCCATGATAAAATCATTAATTTTTTTATTATATGCCCAAGCTAACAAAAGATATTCTAAATACAATTTCTGACAACTTTTCTTACAAACTTAATATGTTTTATCTTTTATGTCTGAATTGGTATTTTTAGAAAATAAATTTGATCATTTTATACTTTCAATAATTTATGTTTCTATTGCTTTAATGAAAGATTCAAAGTCTTTAATATTTTGACCATAATTTTAATATCTTTGATTAATAAATATTCCAGATATTCTGTCTGGTTTATTATCCCATATAAATTTGTAAAGCATATTTTTATAATTATTGAAGATGGATACAGTTAATTTGCCATGAAAAAAAACGATTTTGGCAGTATTAAACTTTTAAAAATGGTAATTTTTCCAATGTCTGTTACTTTTAATTTTTGCCAGTTCTGCTGAAAATTTCATGCCTAAACATTTAAAACAGTATATCCACTTTAACTGTTTACTAGTACTTAAAACAAACTATTTCTCTTTTTGCCAATCCAGGTGGATTTACATTTTTCAGAGTTTAATTTCAAACCTGAATAAGTACCAGATTATTTAATGATTTAAAGTGGTTAATAAGTTAATCTCAGTTCCACCTAAATAATTATTATATTATCTACATATTCAGAAATAACAAAATTATTATTTGTTATTTTTACTTGTATTATAATTATTTCTTTCAATCATTTTCAGTACTTTAGCTGCAAAGCTAGATAAATAAGGGGAGAGAGTATCTCCCTCTGCATCTTTCTTTAATTTTGAAAAGTCACTTAAAAATGATTTTAGATAATGGTATGTTCTATATCATTGTATAAAACATTTATCCATTGTTTAATTGAATTGCTAAAGCAAAGTAGAAGTCTAATTATAATTGAGAGTATTGATATATTCAATTTTTTTTGCAAAGCTTGTACACAGCTATGAAATTTTTTTTTCAATAAACCTACTGTTTATAAAACCCTTTTATTCTTCATGAATCAATAATAATAGTTGAATGAATACAGAAGAATTTTTGGGAAGATAGAAACATTTTAAAATATAATGAAAAGTACTTGAAATAACACAGTTAACAGGTAATAGTAATTTGGATTGGGCTTCTAAATTAAATAAATGAGTCCCACTCTGAATCAGAATTAATCTTTACTCCTGTTGAACCTTAAATTATATTTCCAACAAGGTATCTTACTTCTGCTCACATACTTAGCAATTCTCGTTCAGTGCTACCCTCTATTTGCAAAAAATTTGTTTGCATGCCACAAGCCTTTCACACCCACCCCTTGATTCTCACATGTAAATTATCATGCCACACATCCATGTGGCTCGTGACTCCAACTATACTATTCTACCTATCACTTCTTGTTTGGCAGTGCTTGTGTTCAGACATTTAGTTTGTGCTCTCATCAAGTTTTTTTTTTCATATCTTTATATCAATTTCTCTCAAAAAGTTTACTAATAATTATACAATAATGATATTTGTAACTTATTCCGAAGTGAAATCACTTTATATTTCTACCCAGTTACAGAACTTAATACTTTATTACAAATTTTTTTCTACTTTTTATTTCTTTCTGCCAGCACAGTTGTGTTTGGGTCTGGCACATCTGCAGTCTTTTCAGGAAATGCTGTATGACCCATGGTCTCTTGCTATGATTCCTTTGGATTCTCCTCTTAATTTTCATTCTTCCCTCTTCAGTTATATGCATTGGTGATTGAACGTAACCCCCATGTTGTTGGGTTTAGTGATTCTTCCCCCTTGTCCAGATTTGTTCGTCCTACCTGATGGTCATCTCCAAAGTTGGGGGCATGGATCGATAAGCAGAAGCCTTTAGGACAATGATCTACAGACAAAAGGTCTTACTATGCTAACACCCTGGCACTTTTGACAGTCCAACATGCTTTAGTTCACTTTCTTCTTCGTTTCCAGATTTGACTAATTATGTTTCATTCTGACTATTCGATGATGGTGGCACATATCACTTGCCTTAAACCCACACACTTGACATACATCTCCTAACATGTTATATTCCAGGTGCTTTCTTCCTCATTGCAGATTATCTTTCCAGGCCTCACATACTTTCTCCCAAGGAGTGGCCTCTCAATCCTCCAATTTTTGGTGGCTCTGCCCTCTGTAGGGTACTCCTCCACTGGAAGAGTTTGAGTCCTTTCTCTATTCCAAGTTACCTCTTTGTTTTTGATCTCTGGTTCATCATCCACTCATCCTGGCTGTCAGTGTGTTCAGACAAGAGTAGGTCCAGTTTATAACATTAGTTTTTATAAGTCCCTCACTCTTCTTTTGATCATCTATGTCACTCTGGGCCAGGTCTTTCTAATTGATCCTTCCTTGCCAGCATAGATCTGGTTTTCTCGGCTGTTTCGGCTTGCTATGTTCTTTTTGTTCTGGATCAGTTTTACTAACCTACACTTTGGGGGCTCATGTGGAATATTCTTTTCATCATTTTAGTTTCTTGCCATCTTCCACCTTTATTCTTGGTCGCATCCGGATGACCTTTTCTGTCCCATTCATGCTCTGGGTTGCTTTAAAGGCTTCTTTCCATTGCCTCCATTTCTCACAGTTTCATTCCCTTACACCACTCCTCTGTTCATGATTTTTTCCCTTCCTCCCTTATCCATTGGTTTCGGCTTGTATTTTCATTGGCCTTTTATTCATTGTCTCCTTTTTCCTATATTCAACTTCTGGTATCTTCGCTCTGTTTAGACACTTTACCTTTTACCTGCATCTCAACCCTGTCGTCCATTGGAGGTACTTCATCTGTTGAGCACTAGAACTACACTTCATACATTCATCTCCCATTATCTTCTTTGGTTAGCTGTTGCTACTTGTTGGGGTACCGTCTTCCACCTATTGCCATCCTTCACTGTTAAATGAGACTGTAACTGTGTAAGTTTTCTATCTTTTATTATATTTATATTATTTTTCAGAGGCCTGTCCCATGTTTTGACCAGGATCCTGCTCTGTGGCAAGTGGTGCCTGTCCAGGTATACTTCAGTCACTTAGAATTATACTAAAACTTGCACTGTAAGGCCATGTTGACTTCACTTTCATAATTTCTATGACCACAAAATGCACACTGTTCATTACAATCACATAAACTAGAGATGTGGGTATTCCACAAGATAACTTGTAGGTTATTCTTCACGATATCTTTGCGTCATAAACATGCCCGTTCCGGACAGTATTAACCCATATACTTCGTGAGTAAAGCAGAATGAGATTGCTGGCCATTCCTTACATTGAATAAATCTGGTTTGGTCTGCACTGTCTCCGTTGTAAATGTTTCTCCTGACTTTCCACTGCATCACACACACCTATTTCTTCCAATAGAGTAGAGTAAGAGGCCTTACCACTTTCCAGTTCCATGGAGGTATCCTCCTGAATAAGAGGTATACAATATATATACAATAAAGACTCCATTCAGTTGAAAGTATGATGTGGTGTTCTGCTGATGTAGATGACAATATATCCTCCAATTGGATGCTCCATCTCTGCATAGGTTTGTCCGAGAGGACGTTGTAGCTTTGGAGTGTGCCTTCATAATGATTGAATTCCTCATCTTACCTCTACATGGAATTTGGTTCTCAGCAGTTGAGTTTTGCATTTAGAGCTAAACCAATTGACATGATGTAATCATACATGTAGTGTTCTGGCATAAATGCAGTCCCCCCTCCCCCCTACAGTTGGGATCCATTGTCCTACCCCCACAGGGATGTCAGTTCCCAGCAGTTGATTTTTGGATTTAGAGTTGAACCAATCAACAAAAGTCTTCACACATGTGTCCAGGGTCCCTTACTCAATTTGCCTTGAGTACACTGCCCTAGTGTTGTAGATGCACTTGTTTGCTGCTCCACTTCTTTCTCTTGCTCTACACCTCAATATCTTTATGCCAAAGATGTTATTGCACTTGAGTTGATTCCAGTCAGTTTGGGTTGAGTGGGATATATATGTATATTATTTCACTCTGCTCACATGTGCCCTGTACACAGATTGGTGGTGGGATTTGTCCCTCCAGTCAGCTGAACTTGAGGTGAAGACAGTATGATCCTCCTTCCTACTCCTGCATGGATGTCAGCTCCCAGCAGTTGAGTTTTGGATTGTACTTGACTTCCCCAATGGTATGATTCTTGTCCTACCCTCGCATGGATGCTGATTCTTGGCGGTCAGGTTTTGGACGCAGTTGACTTGCCGTGTACAGTCCATCGCACTCTAGACACTCTACACCTTGGGGCACATTCCTTATTTTACCCACATTCTGCTTATCAAGAGATTGAAATTATAATATATTATGATTAGAATCACTGTCCAACTGTTTTCTCTCCCATTGGTATGTGCTCCTCACAATTTTCCACCCGGATCTGTTGCACTTTTTATACATCTTCATACAGAAGTTGTGCAGTCTCCCACATTTAATCTTCTTATTAGAGGGTTCCCTCATTAGGGTGTCTTTTAGACGCTTTCAAAGGATGCATCTACTTTCTCCCTTGCACCGATCCCTCCACCCATTCAATGTGGGATTCTAGCTGTGCATGTGAGAAGTAAGGTAGCTAGTCTTATATTTCTGACAGGTACTTACTTCTGCTCACACTTCCTCCCCACTATCAACAGGTGCTTACATTTTTGCCTAACTTGAAGATATATTTTGGTAGAATAGCATAGAGGGAGTCATGTGGGTGGGTGTCACTACTGTTGGTGGAGGTTTGTTGCATGATAATTTGCATGCATGAATCAGTTAAACCATGTTAATCGAGGCGTGCATGGGAATGAAAGGCTTGTAGTATAACAAAAAAAAATTACAAATAGAGGGCAGCACCTGTAAGTACATGTTGGAAATACATTTCATTGTAAGAAAATTGTAACTTTTAATTTTTAATACATTTTTATTACATTATAATTATTCACTGAAATGCGATGATTGTATTCTAATCAAACTTTTAAATAGTAAAAAAAGCTTTAAAGAAGATTTCTATAAATGAAACAGCTTTTTCAATATTTTAAAGATATATATGTAGAATCTACTCCTAATTTTTATTTACTAAAGACTATTATTTCTTCATTATCCATGCTTAGACAAGATATCATGAGCTGCATATACGCTAATTTTGGTAAAGAGCCATGTTATAGAAATTGTTTGCCTCGTAAGTGTCAGCTAAAATGTATTTTGTAAGTGATTCTAGATATACATATCCTGAAATTATACAGAATTAATATGCATTCCACTGTTTAGATATTTAATTGCAGAAATAAAAAATATATAACCAGTTACACTGGATTTGTTAAGCATGTTAAATTTAAAGACCTCCAACAACATCATAATTATAAACTTCAGTTTTCATTTTTTGCACTTTCAAACTCTTGTTGTTACAATTGTGAGAAGAGTATTGTCACTAGCTCAAGAATTAATAAATTGTTTCATTAAAATGCTTAAGTCCAGATTTAAAGATCCTGGGACATGTATTTAACTGACTTGTTATACTTATATCTGGGATTCATATACTTTTGTGAATATTTTATTAATTTACTAACACTTGATTGTAATGTCAGTGAGCTAAATAATCAGATGAATATGAGGCTTTTGCACTACATGTACTTTGCTTTTATAAAAGTCCTCTAGTGGGACTATGGTAACTCTACAGATTTACAATGCTAAAATCCTGAGTTCAATTCCCTACAGTAGACACAGCATATAACCCAATGTAGCTTTGCTCTAAAAATCAACAAACTTTTATATGACATCAAAAGGTTATTAAATTTTGCCTTTGAAAAACTTGGTGTAAATTTAAAATTCTCAGTTAACAATACTTGTGAGAATCTCAGATATGTTACTTGCATGTCCATTGGCAGTTATAATGATAAAGATTAAACTGGTATAAGCTGCTAACTGTGAGCCATATGAAATATCTGGCTTATTAGAAGGCTAATTATTTTAGCTCTTTCACAAAACTGCTACTGTTCTGTTACCTTTCTTTTTATTTTTTAATGGAGAAGCATCATTTTATGTTAAAATAATATATCATATAAGGTACGTTTCGTTCAGCAACGAAGGTAGTAATCCTAAACTTGGATTGTGAGCCTGATAATAAAAATTGGAAATTCTTATTTTTTATAATAAGAAAAAATATTATGTAGTGAACAGAGAAACTTGTATTTTTATTTTTTAAAAATCTATTATACCAAAAGTAGGTTGGCAATAAAGTTTTTGTTTTGTTCTTAGTGATATAGGTCAGATAGATTGTGTGGATTGTCCTATAGGTCGTTTCAAGAATGATAGCATGACTTTATGTCACCCTTGTCCTGCAGGTCAAGAAACAAAGGAGGAAGGAAATTATAACTGTACATTGTGTAGTCCAGGTGAATTGTTCTACTATTCAGTTTCTTAGTTGAAAAACAAATCTGTCATCAGTGTGTACTAATAATTGTTTTGTACATTTTTATAGGAAGAATGTTCAGAAAGAAATTTAATTTTGTTTTTCATAACCCCAATAAATAAACTATGGCTGATGAGTGATTATGTTAATAAAAAATAATATCCTGTAACATAATAAATGGACTGCAATTGAAAAACTCGAATGGACAGTCCTTCACCATTTTATGTAGACTTCTGATTTAATATACTCTATGACTTCCAACTCTCAGAGTGGTGAAGCAAATGTGTTTTACATGTACTCAACATTGTTGAAAAGTGATATCTGGTCTCCCATCATTGTTGTAGAGTTGTTGATTGAACATGATATGATTCCTCTGGTAATAAATAATTGTTGATTCTATTATTGGCTCATTTATCATTAATTATAATGTTAATATTTGCAGTAACTTTACCATAATAAGATCAAATAGTAAATATATTACTTCTTTATGATGTTAGTAGTTACCATATTAATTTAAATTTCGTTTTTTTACTGTAATGAATTAAAAGAGATCTTTCATTGTTTTATGTATTAGTCATTTCTTGTGAATGATAAAATATGTAGCACAGAGTTTATAGTAATTTTGTTTATCTTTCACATTAGTAATTATTCTTTTCACAAAAGAAATCTTATGATGTTTGATATAATTAAGTAAACTTCTATTAAAAAATTTAACTCTGACATTATTATCAAAATATTGTATCAAATCATTGCTTAAATGTTCATGACGTTTTTTGAATTGTGGCATATAGAATAATTGAACACATGGTGTTTTGGATGCTGTAATTTTACTCCATATTGGTAATTGTACAGTTTTGATAAATATATTTCCTACGGCTTATAACTCTAGCCTATTTGTGTTTATGTAGGATATTACAAAGAAGAAGGAGAAAATGCATGCTATCCATGTGATATAGGAACTTACACTCTACTTCATGGTTCCACTGGCTGTACATCTTGTCCTTCAGGATTTTATTGTCCTGTGAGTAGAGCTTTTTCTTCCAGTTTTTTGTAACATCAGTTTTATTGCTCAGATGGAATTTATAAATTTCGAAGTCAACCTGTATAGTGTAATTTACATTTTCACTGTAAAGGAAGTGTTGCTGTGTAATTGATAAATGAGTACAGTATTTTACTCTGAGCAGTTTTTGGGACATCATTGTTATGATATGCTGTTCAATTTTGCAGTTAAAAATGTATTTTATGTGGGAAACAATGAATATGAATATGCTTCCAAATAAGCATAAATGGACACAGTTAAATCTTAAAACAACAAAATAAAAACTAAACATTTTTCCCTGTAAGTTGTAAATCAACTCTTTTTGTTGAAATTCAATGTTAAATTCTTGTGAAATATCCCCAATTTGCTCATATATATATATATATATATATATATATATACACACTATATATATATAAGTAATAAACTATAATACTACGTATATGACAAGAACAATACTACATAACAAGTAAGTAAAAGTTAGGACGTAAGTACGTTAGGTTA